TGAAAACGCCGTTCAAGCCGTTTAAAAATATCGCAGTCACCCTTCAGCACTCCGGAGACCTAGATCAATTCACTACCAGAGCAAATGTACAATTAACGCCGGCTAAAATAATTTCTGCCAATGTAGACTTTTTCAATCACCGTCTACGACGAATCAATGCCAACTTTGAATTGACAACACCATTTGAGAGCTTGGAATTGACAAAGGTAACATACAGACACACTCTGTCTTCCAATGACCTCAAATGTTTCAGTGATATCACCTACGGAAAGGATAAAGTAAGCGGTTCGTTGAAAGCATCTAAAAGTCCAATGTCTTTTGATGTCGCTCTTCAGACACCTTTCACTGACTTTGAGGAAGTAGGAGCTAAAGTTAAGTATGCCAGACAAGGTCTCAGCCATAATTTCAACGTTAACGTGAAATATTGCACTGGAAAGGAAATAGCTTTCAAGACATCAGTCGACCTAGCAGCCGATCCCATCACACTAACCGCTGACCTCACTACACCTTTTGTCGGGTATGAAATGACGGAGTTGAGATACACACATAGTGGCCATTTACCCGACTTCAGGTGTACGGCTGAATTTGCAGCTTCCTATGCTTCTCCTATAAATGGAGAGCTGTCCGTTAGATTGGTATCGATTAGTGATATGCAAGTTTTCGTCACATTTACCAGTCCTTTCTTCGACAACGCTGAAACCCTGAGATTCGTTCTTCGTAATCAAAAGAACACACATGAGTACCAGTCACACGCTGAAGTTGCATGGACGCAAACCGACGTCATCGTAGTTGATGGATCATTTGCAAACAGTGAAACATGGAATGGCAACACAGGTAATGTTGGACTTACTGTGAGTACGCCGTTTTCTTCCTTACGTTCAGCCGCCCTAGCAGTTCATCATGATTTGGTGTCATCGAAGTACACCGAAACCGTCAGCGCTGAGTGGAACGGTGAGAAAAAGATTGATATGGACGTTGTGTTCGGAAAGGATACAGCATACGTAGCAGCCTTAACGATGCGTGCACCAAGACCAGTCTCTTTTTCATCCAGTGGGGAAATAACCGATGCTGTTATCAGAGGTAACATGGACATCAACTTGAACACAGAGCGTCAGGACAGAAACGTCCGAATGGCAGCTGCTCTTAACGATAGAAGTGATAGCTTCACGAAAAGGAAAGAAGTGTCGATCACCGTCACACTACCAACAAATTCGGTTGCCGTTACTGGTTCTCTGAGTAAATCATCCATTGCTTTCAGCTCCAGCGGTAACGTCATTGTTGACGGTGTTACTAAATTTGGAATTGACTATGATACTTCTGCTAAGAATAGACGCACTAACAAAGAACAAAGCAATACATTGGCTATTCGACTTCCGTCAAGAACTCTCAAAACAACAAGCCTCTTCAGCGACACCTATGGTACAAAGACTACTGAGGCTGCCATCTTCTGGGATGCAGGAAGAGACGAAACAAAAAAAGTTGGAGTGAGAGGCACTTTTATTCCTAAAGGACGATCAACAAAAGCTGACTTTTCCGTAAGCTTCCCGAGTATTGGAAAGGTGAGTCAATGTCATACTTGTTTTGGTCTTGATTCTTATTGCAATATAACGGATCACATCATACTTTTATCATCAGATTGTGTAATATATTGTGTGGAAATTTACATATGCATGCTTTTTAACAGTGATAACAAATGTATTGTATAACTAATTTGTTACGTTACCCTTTTATTTGGCATTTACAGAACGTCAAGCTCGACTCCGAAGTAACGATGAATAGCGGAAATATCATATTTGACGGCAAGACTGAATTCAGCTACTCCGGTGATGCCAGTAAGAACCTTGTGCTTCATTCACGCGTGGAAGATCTCTCCTCTGGTTTCAGAAAGAACTATAGCTTCATCGTCGGTGTAACCCATCCTGCGAGTACCATTGACGTCCAACTGACATCTCATTTGGGATATGTGGACAATAAATACTCTGCCGACATGGGGTTGGAGTACCTAACAGCCAGCCGTAACAGAAAGAACTTCGCCCTGATGGGAGAAATTGACAAAATGAGGAAACTAATGAAAGTCGAGGTAACTTGTTGTAGATATTTTGATTTTGATATGTTTTTCGAATAATAATATTCAACATTAAATTCTAAAAAGTACGTGTAGTCGTTTATATGTAACGTTTTGTTTGCAGATGGTGTCTCCAGTCAAATCTGTAAAGGTGTCGGGTCAAGTCAGCACCAGTGTTCCTTACCGACTCTCTATCCACAATCTGTATGATGAAAGGCCAGTGGACGCAGAGTTGACCATTGATCCTAGTAAACTTTCCGTGGGATTCCATATGAATTATGACATTGGTGGGTACTTCGATTACGTGTACTATTGCAAATAATAAATGATATATCCCCTTTCTTATCTGTCGTTATTGTTTGAAATGCACTCATCACACAACCAATCTTTCTTATTGTTTATCAAGGCAAGGTTCTCCATGGTGAGGCTAAGTATGTGAATAACAGCGCAATCAGGGCTGAACTCTACCGAGAGGAAAATACACAAAGAATCACTGACAGTTTGTTCGCAATGCGACTTAACTCATCAAGAATGCTTCACACGAGATTGCACTGGCGTCCCACCATTGTTCAGGATCTCAAGGTACGCTTGCGTTAATAGACGTGTGATAATGCTTGTAATTATTATCAGTTTCGGATTATCAGAAATATTACTTATGCACGTGTCATTATATTCCATCATATTTCATATTGTATAGGCATATGGACTCCGAAGAATGGCTCGTAACAGCAGAGACCTTTTGGAGCTCTACAATGAAATATCGTCGGGGATGAACAACGAGGTAAACTCCAAGTACAACATTATCAGGTCAGCCTTCCTGAGAGAATTACAGCCGTTTGTGCAATTCGCTGCAACCAACGTTAGAGGTATCCAGCAAGATATGGCATCTCTGGTCGGACTTATTGACTGTGCTGAGTTGGACAGGCGTATTCAGGAATCTTCGTAAGTAATTCGCCCGATATTTACAAAATCCGGTAACTTAATAGGAAGGATAAAACAGTTGTATGTACAGTTGCTTTGTTTATTGGAGGTAATGATATCGGTTCTTTCACATTTAAAGTCCATACTTAATTTGTATAGAGAAAATGTCTGATGCAATTTGTTGACCAGACTCGTATTTTTGTTCCAAAGGCAATATATCAGGACCGCTGTGGTAGAACTGGAATCACTGGCCAGTTGGATGGAAACTGCCGCCTCTACACGGGTGTCATACCCGATGAAGGACGCTATAGATGTATACATTGTTGACGGAAGTGAATTGTTACAGGTACTTCAAGTTCTGCAAATGATGTAATAAGCTTTTCACAAAGAATGATCTCGTTTCGGAAGTTACTCGAAAGGTCTTACATCAATGAACTAGGGTTTTGTTAATTTAATACATCTGTCCATTTCTTATTAGACTGAAGTCGATCAGTTTTTTAAATTGTTACCTGATCCATGTTATATAATCTACGTAGATTTAAGACATGGAAATCCTATGTCCTTTTATAGATTGAAACTTTCATAGTAGACCTGTATGCCCCGAACTATAAAAATGACTGTATGTTGTGATATTTGACTATACAAATTTGGTCCATTTTTTATGATTTTTTTTTATTTAGATGATGGGGCGAGAATCAAGGAAGAACTATGCTGTTATGATGAATGTAATGGACGAGAAACTTGGAGAGCTTTCTAGAACAGCCCTACTCACATTCAAAACCTATCACGACCAATTGACCAGTACGTTCAAATTAAGTGTTTGTGTATAACCTGTAAATGTTTGTTATATCATCGGCATTATACATCTGTCCGTTACAGTATTATAAACAATATATTGTTCTTTTTTGAAGATGCTATTGCCCAGCCTCTGAACACAGACACTGTGCGTCTGGCTAAAGCCAAATACAATGAGTATCTCGCCAAGCTTACCAACCAATTACCTTCTATCAATAACATGGCTCAGCGATACACGTCATCTATTTATAACACCAGAGAAAACATCAACTCTGCCCTTAATGGACTGCTGGACAGACCGGAAATAAATTATGTCCAGTCTCAGGTAAGATTTTTACAGACATTTGTTGGCTTCGTTTATCCGGTCTTAATTATATATAAATATCTCACTGAATTGATATAGCAATGCTACATCATCAAATAAACTTGAAAACAAATCTGCTGGAATATACACAGATAAATGCATTGAACAGTATTACAATGTATAAGAAGCCTACAAATGTACATGAAACAACGTCTAGCTTATCCCCATGGTGGAATAGAAAAAATGACAGCGACTATTTGTCATCGTCAGTCAACGAATCATTGAACTTTAAGAAAGATGTCAAATACTTATATCAAAGCAAATAAAATATATATTTCACCTCATTACTCACCGTATTGGCTATTACATAATAGGTCGCTGCTGCCTACAAATACTGGGAGGTTGAGGAGAATGCCAAAGCCACCATTAAAAGCGTTTACGATCACATCGTGGAAATAATTGAGGAAGAAATCGAATCACTGAAGTCCGTTATCACTGATCTTGAGAAAACCAAGATAACAGTGTTCGACCCTGTTCATGGAGAAGTTCAAACTGACACCTACCTGATTGTTCCCATGAAATCTCTGAAGTCTCTTCCCGGCATCAACGTCATCCAACGCCTCAACACAATTCGGTCGTACATTCCAGACACCAGTGAATGGGGATCCATCTCTGATTATGTGCCATCCTCTGATGTCAGCACCTGGATTCCACCTTTCGACGGTAATAAAGATTTGTCATCGGATATTACAGCCATTTTCATCGTGTTGGCTCGAACCACTCTAAAAGCTGAAATGTTTTTTTGAATTTGCAGTGTTTTCTTTCTTATTTGCTTGTTCATCTTATTTTACAGCAATTGTTGTAATTTCTTTTTAGCTCATGCAACTGTAGATGGCAACATTTTCACAACCTTTGACGGGAAGATATACCAGTTCAATGGTCGATGCAGCTACGTACTTGCTGGTGACTATATGGATGGTAACTTCTCTGTCATTCTCGACTATATGGGCAAACAGAAAAGAAGGATGATCATCAGCACCACTCAACACACTGTCCAGCTCCTGCCAAAGAACAAAGTGAGTATGTCTGAGAGAACACTATCAACAACTATCTTTGTTAACGTTCATCGTAGTATTGGAATCGTTCTGTTAGATTACGTCTGATAACCAATACAAAAAGTTATCATTAAGTGAAACCGTTTCTTTCGTATCAAGTCTGTGGAATAAATATGACTTTCGGTTGATAATACTATGATACACGAATTCGCTTTACAGTTGAGAGTTGACGGAGCCATTGTTGAAATGCCATACCACGCCCAAGATATATCCGTCATCAATGAGGGTGATGACGTCACAGTGAGTGGGCGTGGCTTCGCTATTCATCATAACTTGCCCAATGATAAGTACGAGATTGGACTGAGTGGTTGGTACTACGGAAAGACTGGTGGTTTACTGGGAACTTACGACAATGAACGTCATAACGACATGATGATGTCATCACGACAACTCACCAGTGACATCACCTCTTTCGTGGATACCTGGGAGGTCAAGGACAGATGCCGTTAAAATGGTTGGACATTAAGAATCAACTTAAGAACTAATCAGTGATTATGAACGAAATTTAAGAATTTTGTATTGGTTTTTTGAAATGTTTAACTTGAATAAAATTAAATAGCATGTGATATTTTGGTTGCATTTTGTCTGTGAAAAAGTAAGGCCATTAACTTAGAAGGTATGCTTGTTGCAGTAATTCTCGAATTCTCAAGAATACCTTTGTTTGACAAAGTCTATCATAGTAATAGAATGTAATCAATCAAAATATTTATGTTAGCATCACTGTCATTCAATATACAGCTTTCAAAATAGCCGTCGACTACTGACCGATAAACGTAAAACAAATACAGATATTCTAAGTGATATACAATTAGGGACGAAAAATTCATGATCTCACTGGAAAAAATATTTTGATCCACGTGAGATATGGAGGTTTGTCTGATGATTATGATCATAAGTATGAGTTGTGACTTAATTCATACAAAACTCAGAGAGGTATGTTCAAAGTTTAGAGATATCGATGATGCAGTAATTGCCTTTCCTTCAGAACAATCTGATTTAAATTTAATCTTCCTAAAATGTTTTCAGTGTTTTTATTTGTTAAATATTACAGTTTGGAGTTAACGCTATCCTGATTCGAGAAAGAATGTACTCTACTGTTGAAAAATAACAAGAAAATACCAACAGGTCAACCTAATCATAATTCAAACCCTATTTCAATAAAAGGCATTATATGAACAAAATATCAATCTAGGCGGAGACTCCTTAAAACAAGTACAAGAATAAGACCAGATTCTACGGAAGAGCAAGCGTCTACTACTTTATCGTCGACATCCGCAACGTAAACCTTGCTTAATCCAATTAAACAGTACTACGTTCTCATATAAGAACAGGATTCTCAACAATGTAACCAACAGGCAAACTAACGAGCATCAAACACGTTCAGCTTGATATCGCACAAAAATAATATATTTCACAATGAGATCAGTGTGACGGTCATCAATCTAGCAAAACCAGTGTTAGCATGCTAATATTGACACCAACGTCCAATTGTAAAATAGGTTTTGTTTTGTAGGTTTTGACGTCAGTGGCAGGTTTTTGTTTGTTGGTGTTCACGTCAATGACAGGTTAGGGCGTGTGGGTATTGACGTCAATGACAACTTGTGGTTTGTGAGTGTTCACGTCAATGACAGGTTATGGCTTGTGGGTATATAAACCCTGGGAGGTCAAGGATAAATGTCGCTAATATGCTGATATGTTGATGGACGTTCTCTATCTGTACGATGAAGGAAATAAGTATCTTCTTTGATGTGAAAATTTAGATCCTTTGTCAAAAAATTCAAATGTTTAACTGGAATAAAAATGATTTAAGCAAGCAATTTATTTGTCAGTGTATAATTATTGAATTTCATGAGGTAAAGCGTGAACGTTTCATGGAATAAGGAAACTAGAATGCAGCAACCTTCATCATACCAGGTGCTTACCAAACTTATGGATGCTATATCACTGAAAACGTTCACTATTCGTTCTTATATCAATTGAAATATAATTGTGCAACTATCCCCCACAAAAATGTGCTGAACATGTGAGCTGTACTTATTATAGAACAAGGATCGTCAGAGACGGGTAATGCTCTCAATAGGGCAATAAATCCTAAATCATGCTAAAAAGAGAGTGATAGTTCTTGAGCACCGCACTTCTTCTTGAGATCTATCTACCTATATAGTTTAATATTGATATTTCAAATGGTATCAGTTATGCTCCGGACCAGATGCTTACCTTTCCTCAGTAATTGGTATGCAATAAACGTACGGATACCATATAATTGAAAACTTTCACTATTCGTCCTGATATCATTTAAAGTAGACTTGTGCGAGCATTTCCACAAAAAAGAAAAATGGCGATTAATGTCATAAAATCAGATGAAGTCTGTAGCCAAATCACACGTTGAAATACGTCACAAATCAATCATTATCCACGTAAGGGTTGTTAGATTACAATAAGAGTGCAGCCCTTGGGTGCCAAAGGCGACCGAGCTATTTAACGGCTTTACTGACTTCCTTCTCATATTAAGACAGTATGGTCCTGCAATGGAGATATTGTCGACGACACCCGCTATGTTAGTCAATCCAAGTAAGAAATGGTACGTTCTCAAATGAGGACAAGGTATATAACAACGGATAGCATCAAGCACGATCAGCGTTACATCGGATAAAGTAATAGAATATTTCTAAATGACATTCTGACGACCGTAAAACTTCCTCATAATCGTCATCAACGGTATCTTTTGAAATCTTCTGTTTTGAGTTTGTCATTTACGACTTCTTGTAGGCCTTTGAGGATCAAATAAAATGCCACATGTAAACATATATGATTTGCCAACTATAGAATTGATTCCTCCTGGTAAATTGATGCAAAAAATAGGTCATGAACATGAGAACTGTATTCACTATAGAAAGAAGGCCCTACTAGGATATTTTAAAGGAAAAGTAAAAACTCTTTAAAAGATGTTTTGTGAATAAAACTGATAAGTGCAAGAAAAGACAAGATTCCTTTCAAACACGTACTGAGATTTAGAAATCGTTAGAACTGTTGAAAGGTATTACTATATAAATGTCCAAAGCAAAACCTGCGAAGTAAAGTCACTGAGTAATTAAACGGAGTAGAACATTCAGTCGTACGACTAAACGTCATATAAGTGGCAAATTTTATATATCTAAAGGGTACTAGGTGTAAAGGCTTATCTTAGCAAACTTTATACATCTAAAGGGTACTAGGCCTAACGGCTTATCTCAGCAAAGTTTATATATCTAAAGGGTACTAGGCCTAAAGGCTTATCACAGCAAAGTTTATATATCTAAAGGGTACTAGGCCTAAAGGCTTATCGCAGCAAACTTTATACATCTAAAGGGTACAAGGCCTAAAGGCTTATCTCAGCAAACTTTATACATCTAAAGAGTACTAGGCCTAAAGCTTATCTCAGCAAATTTTATACATCTAAAGGGTACTAGGCCTAAAGGCTTATCTCAGCAAACTTTATACATCTAAAGGGTACAAGGCCTAAAGGCTTATCTCAGCAAACTTTATACATCTAAAGGGTACTAGGCCTAAAGGCTTATTTCGGCAAACTTTATACATCTAAAGGGTACTAGGCCTAAAGGCTTATCTCAGCAAATTTTATACATCTAAAGGGTACTAGGCCTAAAGGCTTATCGCAGCAAACTTTATACATCTAAAGGGTACAAGGCCTAAAGGCTTATCTCAGCAAATTTTATACATCTAAAGGGTACTAGGCCTAAAGGCTTATCTTAGCAAACTTTATACATCTAAAGGGTACTAGGCCTAAAGGCTTATCTCAGCAAATTTTATACATCTAAAGGGTACTAGGCCTAAAGGCTTATCGCAGCAAACTTTATACATCTAAAGGGAACTAGGTCTAAAGGCTTATCTCGGCAAACTTTATACATCTAAAGGGAACTAGGTCTAAAGGCTTATCTTTGCAAACTTTATATATCTAAAGGGTACTAGGTCTAAAGGCTTATCTCAGCAAACTTTATACATCTAAAGGGTACTAGGTGTAAAGACTTATCGCAGCAAATTTTATACATGTAAAGGGTACTAGGTGTAAAGGCTTATCTCGGCAAACTTTATACATCTAAAGGGAACTAGGTCTAAAGGCTTATCTTTGCAAACTTTATACATCTAAAGGGTACTAGGCCTAAAGGCTTATCTTAGCAAACTTTATACATCTAAAAGGCACTAGGCCTAAAGGCTTATCTCAGCAAATTTTATACATCTAAAGGGTACTAGGCCTAAAGGCTTATCGCAGCAAACTTTATACATCTAAAGGGAACTAGGTCTAAAGGCTTATCTCGGCAAACTTTATACATCTAAAGGGAACTAGGTCTAAAGGCTTATCTTTGCAAACTTTATCTATCTAAAGGGTACTAGGTGTAAAGGCTTATCTCAGCAAACTTTATACATCTAAAGGGTACTAGGTGTAAAGACTTATCGCAGCAAATTTTATACAGCTAAAGGGAACTAGGTCTAAAGGCTTGTCTTTGCAAACTTTATATATCTAAAGGGAACTAGGTCTAAAGGCTTATCTCGGCAAACTTTATACATCTAAAGGGAACTAGGTCTAAAGGCTTATCGCAGCAAATTTTATACATCTAAAGGGTACTAGGTGTAAAGGCTTATCTCAGCAAACTTTATACATCTAAAGGATACTAGGCCTAAAGGCTTATCTCGGCAAACTTTATACATCTAAAGGGTACTAGGCCTAAAGCTTATCTCAGCAAATTTTATACATCTAAAGGATACTAGGTGTAAAGACTTATCGCAGCAAATTTTATACATGTAAAGGGTACTAGGTGTAAAGGCTTATCTCGGCAAACTTTATACATCTAAAGGGAACTAGGTCTAAAGGCTTATCTTTGCAAACTTTATATATCTAAAGGGTACTAGGTGTAAAGGCTTATCTCAGCAAACTTTATACATCTAAAGGATACTAGGCCTAAAGGCTTATCTCGGCAAACATTATACATCTAAAGGGTACTAGGCCTAAAGCTTATCTCAGCAAATTTTATACATCTAAAGGGTACTAGGTGTAAAGGCTTATCGCAGCAAATTTTATACATCTAAAGGGTACTTGGCCTAAAGGCTTATCTTGAAATCCGTAGTGTATGATAGTTCATTTTATTATACATTTTATAAAAGATATCAACTTCCTGATAACTTAGATCAAGTAAAAACTTCATAATTCTGGATATTTTTCAATAACCATATATTTATATCATTGTATGACCAGTCCTACGGTAAGAACAGACATATCTCTTACTTTGTCCTATTACACCTGTGACGGTTCCTAGGTAGGGTCAGTAAATTAGTCGCAGTGACAAGGGCTACAAGTTGATACTAGCATGTAAACATAACCATAATTGAAATTGATTAAGACGAGGGCAAAACAAAAATTTACACGGATATTAATAAAAAGGAGAATAATGTTTCGGAATAGTAAGCGTCGCCTGCTTCATCAAGGACACCCCCCATGCAAATCTTGGTCAATCTAAGGAATTAATGTCACATTCTCAAATAAGAACAAGGGGAGGTAAGTGATAACAGGGAGCATGGTAACCAAGGTCGAGGCTACTACAGCTGTGAGTTGTGATATCTGTGTCAGAAGTCTAGGCTGAGATATCCATGTGTCCGAGGTCTAAGATCCAGCGATAAGATGGATCATTCATGTGTGCCAAAAGGTCTAGGGGTCAGCGATAAGTGGGAATAAGTCAGAGGTCTAGGATCCAATTATAACTGGGAATACCTGTTTATGTCATAAGTGTAGGGTCCAGCGATAGGTGAGAATATATGTGCGTGTCAGAATTCTAGATTCCAGCAATAAGTTGAAATATTTGGAGTAAAATGTAAACAATGATAAGGTAGAAATAATCATGGATGTTTAGTAATTTCTATATTGACTTGTTATATAATCAAATTCGAAACGTCAACGGTAATACTCCAGTGACAATGGTATGGGGCAAACTCCCGAGGTCAATCTGCTTAAACAAAGTTCATGCATGTCCAGCGATATTGGATCATGTGGACAGACTCGTATCACAATCGTCTCACGCAAAATTCAAATCTATAGGAACTTACTCCAGGTACAATACTCTTGATAAGGGTTCAAATTCCTACGTACGTAAATGTACAGACTCCATGGGCAATCCTCCTTTCACACAAAACTAATTCAAAGGTATAGGAACATTCATCAAGGAATCCTTTCACAAATAACTCTAATTCATAGGTATGGGGATAAACCCCAACGGCAATCCTCCCACTCAAAACTCAAATCCATAGGCATGGTGACAAGCTCTCCGGGAAATCTCACACATCACTTAAATCCATAGGTATGGGGACAAACTCCTGGGGCAATTCTTTAACTCAAAACTTAAACCATAGGTATGGGGACAAACTCCTGGGGCAATCCTTTAACTCAAAACTCAAATCCATAGATATGGAGACAAACTTCCAAGAGTCCTCTCGACCATACAAAATTTTAATTTATAGGTTGGGTGTCAAGACTCCCAGTGCAATCCTCTCTCTCAGAGCAATCCTCATACAAAAAATCTCAAATAGGTATTATTGGGACAGACATCTAGGGTAACTCTCTTAGACAAGGTTTTAATATTTATATATGGTCAGACTCCTTTTAGGATGGCAGCACAAATACAATTGTATGTATGAATCTGTAAATAATCATATTAATATAGAATTCATAAACAAAACAACAGCTGATAACAGTCACATTGATCTTTTTATGTTTGCCACTCCTGGGGAGGTTTGTTTACAATATACAAAATGTCTGGTGAAGTTTTTTTAACAATAATGACAGCACAGGCCTAAATCAACCTGTGTAGTAAACAGTCTATCATAAAAGATGTCAGACTACTTACTCAATCATCTTTAAATAAAACACAAAATATAAGATCTACTTATCATTTTTGTTATTCTTTGAAAATCATGAACTGATAGAGAATTCATCTTTCTTTTCAATGAAAATTTGACATATCACTATTACTGTGCCTTATGTAATTGACATCCATATCATTATATCTACAAAAGAACAAACAAGAAAATAAATTAATGCATACCTCAGTTTTTTTTGTTTTGCTTCAGAATTTATTGCAATATAATAAAGTCATATGTGTATTGTTCTGCTTAAGCACAATATTTAGTACTCCTTAAAGTTACAACTCTGGTCCAGCAACAAAACTATCCTGGTATTCACTCCTGTCTCAGTGCTATCAGATTGTCAGCAGGGCTGACTTGTCAAAAATTGTCTGCAGAATCTCAGTCTTAATCGCCACTTTGATCTATAAACTGTTTTATTACACAATGGTGATTTTCCCCCTTTTACAGATTGGTCAATTCTAAACATTCATACCTTGCTCAAACATATCAACCGTAGATCAGGCTCAAATATTCACCGTATTCACTTAAAGACATGTCAATAATTATATTTTTAACTTTCTTATAAGCAGCAATCCATTCAATAACATAAGCAATACAACTGTAGCTTGATGTTTAGCAAATGGAAAATGATAAATATATCCTAACAAAGGTAAATAGATAATTTACCATGAACACTTGTGTTATATTGAAAAGAAATTTCATTCACTAAAAGTGTTTGCCATTTTTCAAAAATGGAAAAACAAGTTCAACAAATTTGATATCACATAAACAAGCATTAGAATGTAATAATGTAATGTAAATATAATGTAATACCTCAAGACTACCCTTCCGCAAGTATTTCCATTTTTTCCTTTATACAGCAGTGACTGACTGGACACATCATTAAAGTGATAATAGCATGATACATTGTTTTTCTGACACTATTTCCATTTTTCCTTTACACAGTGGTGACTGACTGGACACATCACTAAGGTGATAATAGCATGATACATTGCATGTGCTGTGTGGTTTTTATACAATGACAATATAGCAACATAAATGTTTTGAATACACATATTGTTAAACTGGGATAAATATATCATTGCAATGCTAATACAACAATGCTTAATTTAGAAAAAAATATCTTCATTTTCACTTTGTATAATACAATGTGTGCTGAGAAAGAGATCTTGGATAGAAAAACCTGACTTGCCATGAAAGTACAGGTGAAACAAACTACAATAACAATGTATAAACGTACAGGACAACACCTTATACAACCCTGGTTACAGTGCTTTTAATATTGTATTCTTAGTATGCGTTGTATTTCAATGTTCATTTAGCTAAACCACATATACCATATATATTTCCAATGAACAGATCACGTCCTCTACTCTGACAAATAAAGGAGAACTACATATATGATCTACACAAGGACAGACCCACTAAATAGTCTAACCAAGGAGGGGCAGTAAACGTAGTCTACACAAGGACAGGCCCACTACATAGTCTAACCAAGGAAGGGCAGTAAACGTGGTCTACACAAGGACAGGCCCACTACATTGTCTAACCAAGGAGGGACAGTAAACATGGCTGAGACTACAAATATGGTCCACAACAGGACAGACCAACTACATATTCTAAGCAAGAGCGATTGTAAACGTGGTGACTCATGCTCATCTGAATGCAGTAAAAATGCTTCATTGTCAATGATTTGATTCATCAAAATTATCATTATGACATACAATATACAATAAAGTAAACTTTTAAAAAAAAATGTGGAAATCATTTTGAAACTAGTTTTAGCAAAACAAAGTTTAGCATGACAATCTTTTTTTTCGAAAAGTTGAAGGTATAAAGAGGCATGCATGACTTCTAGGGTGAATATACATATGAATCTGCCAGAACAGATTTAAATAGTATTAAATAGAGGTGTACTCTATTTAGAACTTCCACACACTAGTACACTCCAATCAGAGTCCAGTCAACCAACCACATATATATACTGACACTTATTTCAAACTAACATAAACAATCACTTTAATAGAAGAAATTCTGGAATACAATGCTGACAAATTACATGCTAACCACCACTTCTATTAATGTTTCCCATCTCCATTCCTATTTCTTCATACTTCAGTTGTGGGAATGCAGTGTTACACAATTTTGAAGTGCAAACAAAAATTTCTGACATATAAGAATAATATTTCCTTTGAAAGATAATGATTACAGGTGGTAGACACTGATGATGGAATTCATATATCATGAATTCAACATTTTCATATGTGATGAACAAACACGCTGACAGTAAGAGTATTAACCTCTTTTGTCAGAGAGGACTCTATGTAAAAGAATTCTGACTTGTAACAGAAACTGCTGCAGTTCAGCTGATCTATTATCCAACCTTACTGTACAACAAGGGGCCTGTCCTAAATTTCTCACAGCCTATTCCTCGGACTTTGTTGGATGAGAGCAATGACTTAAACCTGAAGTGTTCTGTTCCCTTTAAACAAAGATTACAATCTAAAGACCGAAATAAAATTTCAGAAAATTTCACTTTCAGAGTAATTTTTTTATTCCTAATATACAGAAACATATGTGTTTTCCTGTAAAGCACACATACTTTGCTAAGAGGAAGAAATGGTACTAGGCGTACCCTCTCACCATTATCAACTTAGTCCAACCTTTATTAGAAGAGGTAATAGATGGACATTGTAATCCGTATCATTTTACCCTAGCTTTAATCAGAGGAAAGAATAGTTCTTGATATATCCTGCCACCTATCTCTCAAATGCAGCTTGGATCAGAGGAAGCAACAGTTCTTTATGTTCCCTACAAACCCTATTAACTTAACACAAGCATGGGTAATGATTGAAGGGCAACATAATTCTTGGTGTAGCCTGTAATAACCATCACCTTCTACTGAAAGAACTGGTACTAACCTACCATCCTATCCCTCTGAACAGAATGAAGATTAGCTTGAATCAGAGAAAAGAATAATTCTTAATCAGAAACATGAGGATGGTATTGAAAAAAGTCTGCCTAAATCAGCAAACAATTTGAAGGTAAGTCATGCTATTCCTTATCAATGGAAAGATAGTCCAATGCACCATCTGTGACCTGTCATAAGGTCTTACAAGATCAATGCTGAGGTCTGTTATTGCACCAACTCCACAAGTGTAAACAAGTCTAACAACATCAATCCTGTGGTCTGTTGTTCTGATAGTAGTTCTCACTATGTACATCGTTTGATCATATCATTGATGGGCGTGTTAAGCCAGTCATTTGTCAAATCATCAAAATGATTATCAAAGTCTGTGAGTTGCGTATAAGCACCTGATGTGAGCAATGTGGCCGCTGTCTGCATTGTTTCCTCATCAACAGTTGATCTGAAAGAGCAAACAGTTTAAATATCAACACAGAGATTAAATATCATCACTGTCAGTAGCCCATCTGAACACATCACTGTGTAAGTATTAGAGGTGTAATAAACGTATTGATCTAAATAACTGGCAAGTATTGAATGACCTTTGACTTTTGAGATAATTCACTGGTAAAATACACTACTTTCATAATTATACCTTTTCACAATTGTAAAATTTATCAGTGATAAACAATGTTAAATTAGTAGTGATTTAACTGCTATCTAACAGATTAAAAAAATCATGTTTAACAACCTTTTTTCAGTTTCTCTCCAGTATGTGTCTTTTAAGGAATATGTTCTATAGACCTCCCGTACAGATTCTGGTGAAACTCTCTCATTATCAATCTGAAAGTAGTAAAACAAGCACAAGTAGCTTACAGTATTGCAGCAAAAAATAGTCTACAAGCAATGATGGAGATTGCAGTAAAGAGGTATAGAACAGGACTTTTTGTTGATCAATTATCAACAATTATTATTTTAAAATAGATACATTTTTAGCTTTCAAGACTTTCTAAAAACTTTCCATTATCAGCAAAAATGTTTTGTTAAATTATCTTCACTATCTTCAATCCTAATTATTAACAGTTTCAAAATAATTAAAATATATATTTGTCACTTTTTCAATGAAACAATATATTTCCAGTACACATCAATTAAATGAACCTACATACCCTAATATATGTAATTTTTCAATAACATACAATGCTGATGTGGCTTGTGTAGTAATATAGCTAGTAAAAAGTATCTCCATTACTGTTAGTGGAAGAAACGAATGGCCACCATGTTCTTCTAACTGTACTGTAGATGATTACTGACTTTATTACAATTGTGAGAAAATCCATAATTATATACAACATATTGCTAAATAAACAATGCAAATGATTATATATGTTTATGACTTTTTTAACTATTTGTGTTGCGCCAGTTCCCCATAATTTATGCACACAAATGAATATGCAGCTAAACCAATGTACGTTACACATCAATGATTAAATAATCTGACAGCCAACTAATATATTATAAATGTATAATGACTACAAAAATTTGTAATGAATCATAACATAGATAAAGACGGCCATGGCACTAACACTCACCATAAAGATACACGAGTCTTGGTAGTTCTCACTGATCTTTCTCCCTACAACTCGGGCAATACAGTTCAACCTGAATGAGAAAGAAACTGTCCCTTATTAATTCTTTCTCACAATGATCAATTTGAAAGTAAACATATTTTGCATTGTTTCACGGTCCTTATTGATTTCAAGACTCTTCCAGGTATCAAGCCCTGAACTTCTGGCTTATACAAGCCATTCAACCAAAAGCTAAAGATGAATGCTCTTTACACATACTCCTCATTCAGGAAATAACTCCTCCTTGGGTTTCTTGGACAATGCTTGTGAAATTGGTGCTGACAGAGTATTATTTTAGAAGTCTCTACATAGTTCTCATAGGCATAAGAGACTCAGGAATGCTACAAACTTAGAATTGGTCTACAGGCGAAAGTCATTGTTGTAATCTCTAAGGCAGGTTTTTTTTTAAAAATACTCCGATTTGTTTCAGAAACATAAAACTTACTCTGAGTCAGAATAGTTTTCATTAGCCTGGTAATAGCCAGCTACCACATATCCAACACTTTTACAGTATCCATCAATCTGAAACAGAAGAATGGTGACATATTTGTAAATGAACACAGGCACGCGTCACACTGACACATGATGAAGTTGGAAACATCTACTCATTTCAAAGGGTGAAAGAGTTTGTGGGGAAATTACATACTACTGCCTACATTCAAAATTTCACATCTCAGGAAAGTGCATATTTGGTTGACTTCTTTTAGACAGAGCAAAAGAGACATTTTAAGGCTATTTGTTCACATGTAAAGGCGCTCACAATACAATGTTATACTTAGTGCAATACATCTATCTTACTCCACTGATATGCATTGTAAACACAGAATTCAGCCACAGTCATCATATCATTTCAAAATTTGTCCAAAATAGTTTCTGTATTTTTCAGATTTTGATAAAATTTTAGTTATGAGGTATACCGTATACAGTTCTCAATTCTGCCGAAGATTGTACAAGATGACTTTACATAAATGAAATTTGCATGAATTAAAAAGATTTTTTACTCCTTCACACAGTATCTGGCCCCACTTGTATAAAACATCTCAACTTGAGATTTCCTCAAGTCGAGATTTTCCTAAGCCGATATCTCCTCAAAAAACATTCATTTCACAGACATACATGATTTGTCATCCACTTTTCGATCTGCACTATAAAAATAAGACCGGACCTCGACTGTATGTATACATTTGCTGTATATATGCGTATAGTCAGATTTAACTACATAGCCATATTTTTTCCATTACAGAATGACCGTGCATTTGAATAACTAACTGATCAAACAGTAACTATCCTTCAAATGCAGGACTATTGCCCATATAGGAGGTGTTGTGCCTAACCTGTCAGTATCTGCATTTTGAAAAATTCGAAAAACTTGTGAACCTTTCTTTTCAACATAGAGGTAAGTATGCTACAGTAGTGAGTAGCTGCCGGTATGTATACGCAATTACCTGTAGAAGTGCTGCCTCCAACATCGGAGACAGGCCGAGTGTGAGATGAAATAATGGAATACAGTCTACAAATTTTAAATTTCTGTGTTCTTTAGACTTGGACTGTTCTGCCAATAGTACACCGTTTACAGAGCAATGTGGGTATTTAGCGGCATGTAAAAGCAATTTGCAGTATGCTCGCGTGCTGACTGTGATCTCCGCCATTTTCACACCAGTAAGCAGTAAATGAAACACAACTTCCTGTTGATATTACTCGAATCACAAACAAATACAATTTTGCCAAATTCTTAAAGCTTGCTTCGATAAGAATTTCAGGTATCAGAATAGTACAGGAAATGGCTTTTTAGACTTAAGATATAGTGAACCCTTACATATTCTGCGGAGATGCAATATGTCAGCGCCTAGCGCATTGCGGTACCTCAATAGCATGGATTGTGACTGTTTGAGTTAACAGTGGAAGAATCAGGCGGTTTAGACAAGGTTGCATCAACACAATACGTTACATTTTTTAAAAAATCTAAATCCAAGTTCAAAACCATTAATTTATAAGTAATTCCGTAATTCGATATATGTGTTTATTTGCCAGTTATAACACTTCATGTATATTTTGTATCGGTTACCGGTGAAGACATCGACACACGATTCGATACACATGAATAAGCAGCAATTTGTTCAGCCGAGGCAGTGCATTAATTGAGAGTATACTTGTCACCTTACTAGTTTTTACTAATGCAAGGAAATTCCCCTGTTACGAAAGGAATGAACTACCATGGCAGCCGCATCGTTCTAGATATATCCGGGTTTGTCTGATTAAAAAACGACGAAACTCTTCTGTCGTTCCGCACTCTCTTTATTGGGACATTGTTAAGGTACATGTAGTAAACAGAATTGAGCCTGCAACGTAAGTGCATTGCAAGGCATGAATAAAATATGATTAACATGACTCCTATATATTTACTGTAGAAGATGAAAGCTGTATACCAGATCTTGATGTTCCTAACATAACAAGTCAGTAGGTTGTGCAAGTTGTCACATTGAAGGAGGTGAATACATTGCTTAGGGAGCTCAATGTTGCTAAATCACCGGGTCCAGATAAAATACACCCAAAGTTACTAAAGGAATTAAGGGATGTTATAGACAAACCACTACTGATGATCTTGAAAAAGTCACTAGATACAGGAGTAGTACCAAAGAAATGGAAAAAAAGCAATAATTACTGCACTATTCAAAAAGGGAGATAAAAACCTGGTATGCAATTACAGGCCAGTAAGCCTTACAAGTATCCTATGTAAAATGTTGGAAAAAATTATTTGGGCACGGATCACTGAACATATGAATAAGTACAACCTCTTCAGTAATAATCAATTTGGATTTCTCAGCGGCAGGTCAACTACACTACAATTGCTTAAAATACTAGATGAGTGGACAGATATCATTGACAGAGGCGGTTCGCTTACTGCAGTCTATATGGACTACATGAAAGCATTCGATAAAGTCCCCCATCTCAGGCTATTGAAAAAATTGAAAACATATGGAATAAATGAGAAGTTGTGTAACTGGATCAAGAACTTCCTAAAGGACAGAAAGCAATGCGTACGGGTAAATGGTTGTCACTCGAGTTTGTACGAAGTTACCAGCGGCATTCCACAAGGCACTGTGCTTGGTCCTGTATTGTTTGTTTTATTTATTAATGATTTACCCGAAGTAGTGTCTTCACACATTTACTTACTTGCAGACGACACAAAGGTGTATAGAGAAATATCGCATGTGAACGATTATAAGGTTTTGCAGGAAGATTTGGATCACTTATTCCTATGGAGTGAAAAATGGCAACTGAAATTCCACCCAGATAAGTGTAAAGTGCTACATGTTCAGGGGAGAGGGAATACAAGTGAGGTAACTAAATATAAAATGAGCAAGTATGGTGGATGTTCAATAACATTAGAAAATGTAGAATCCGAAAAGGACATTGGTGTAACAATAGACAGGAATTTAACTTTTCAAGACTACATCCAGCTACAGGTAAACAAAGCTAACCAGATAGTCGGGCTTATGAGGAGATCCTTTGTATACATGGATAATAAAATGTTCACCCTACTGTTCAAGGCTCTGGTCAGACCCCATCTGGAGTATGCCAGCTCAGTATGGTCACCATACAAAAAGAAGGACATAGAAACGATCGAGAATGTTCAAAGGCGTGCAACCAGAATGCTACCCAACATGAAAGAAATTGAATATAAGGAGAGACTGCGAAGGCTAAAGCTACCATCATTAAAGTTCAGACGTATGAGAGGAGACATGATAGAAGTTTTCAAGATTCTAAGAGGGAAATACGACAAAAGGGTAACAGCGGGCCTGCTGCAATTGAATGAAAACTTACACACAAGGAGAAATTCTATGAAATTGTTGAAAAGCCATTGTAGGAGAGATATACGAAAGCTTCACCTTCCGAGTAGTCGACTGATGGAACAGCTTACCAGATCATGTTATAGCACAGCTTCACCTTCTGAGTAGTCGACTGATGGAACAGCTTACCAGATCACGTTATAGCACAGCTTCACCTTCCGAGTAGTCGACTGATGGAACAGCTTACCAGATCACGTTATAGCACAGCTTCACCTTCCGAGTAGTCGACTGATGGAACAGCTTACCAGATCACGTTATAGCACAGCTCCACCTTCCGAGTAGTCGACTGATGGAACAGCTTACCAGATCACGTTATAGCACAGCTCCACCTTCCGAGTAGTCGACTGATGGAATAGCTTACCAGATCACGTTATAGCACAGCTCCACCTTCCGAGTAGTCGACTGATGGAACAGCTTACCAGATCACGTTATAGCACAGCTTCACCTTCCGAGTAGTCGACTGATGGAACAGCTTACCAGATCACGTTATAGCACAGCTTCACCTTCCGAGTAGTCGACTGATGGAACAGCTTACCAGATCACGTTATAGCACAGCTTCACCTTCTGAGTAGTCGACTGATGGAACAGCTTACCAGATCATGTTATCTCCACATCCACTGTATACCAAAATAGACTGGATAATTCATGGGAAAAACATCCAATGTTATACAACTTTAACGAGGATTATGGACTTGTCACCGGGAGGATAATAAACTAGTTATGAGTGTTGAACGAGCTGCCTATAGAGGACCAGGAGGTCCTGCAGGCAGATATAACATAACTTAACATATATAATGACTAGACTACTTACCAGGGAACCAGGTGTGCGCTGGGTGCCGTCAGGTGCTGAGTGAGTGAAACAATGATAGTGGACGGTGCAGCACATGTGCTACTCATACCCTCACTTACTTGCACAACTATTGTTCACAGCACTTGCATTATATAGGCGCTGGTGACATTGTATAACAAGTTCACCCGGTTACATAGATATAAAGATCAGTGTATATTACCTTGAGGAAATATAGTCAGCAATTACCTCACCAAAGGTCCATGGATCCTACATATGTGTATTAGAAATAAGACTTGAGTAGATTAACTTCACTTAAGAACAACGAGAGATGGCTTTCTTCACAGTGACACACAAACTGGGGAAACCATACCTACCAAACTATTCCAGTTGGTGTTCAATAGGAAAGATAGAGAAGGTATGCCAGACAAAGGAACCAATCCTTTCCTGGCCATGCAAGGGATCCAGGTCAGTGTCTGGAGTAGAGAAGCTGCTGGAAGGAATTTGTCCTTTCACAGCTACAGGCTCAGATGGGATTTTGACTTTTATGCTGAGGCAGGCAAAACCAGATGTAGCCCTATAACTATTTACCAGTATATTCTAGCTGTCACTGAACATGGGAACTGTGAAGGATGACTGAGAGACCCACACATAGTCCCTAAGTATAAAAAGGAAAATATGAAGACATGTTGCTTCCAACTACAGACCAGCCAGGCTAACGCCTATAGCATGTAAGATCACGGAACATATCAGTCACATCACAGTCATGGACCTTCGACAGGAACCAGAATCTGCGAGTGAAAAATTTGGCTTTCGATCACATTGATCCTGTGAAGCCAAAAGGTAGTAACACCTGTCATACTGGATGACTTTAGGGCCAAGCTCAACACCTAAGCTTGTCTGCTCAGTATCCAAAAGGCATACTACCTCCATTACTGTGTAGTTTTAACATTTATATTTTATCATTTTTGGAAGCCTCTTGTTTTATCCATCATGCACTGAATTATATAAACCTATATAAATGCAAGTCCTCTATACCAGACTCAAAAAAAAAGAGATTACAATTATTATGCATAGTCCTCTTTCAAATATACATTAAGTATACAATTTGATAATTATGTGATTGCAGCTCAGTAATTAAAGAACAGTTCTTTGTTTTTCCAGTGTTTGTCGCATTCATTTTAAAATTTGTTAATATTTTTTGTTGAAATGACATGTTCAGGTAATTTATTCCATATGGTAGCTGATCAAATTGAAAAAAGTTTCTCCTTAACATGGTCGAAGATATATTGTTCTTGAGTTTACTTGACGGCTATGTCGTTGAGCAGCGTCATCCAATAACGTTACTGAATCGCAGCATACCTATACAGTTCTATCATATCTCCTCTTACTCTTCTGAAGGCTAATGTTGGTAGTCTTTCCAGGCTCAGGCTGTAGCTGAGGTTACTCATGCCTGGAAGGCACATGGTTGTCGTTCATTGTACTCCCTCTATCTTATCAAGGTGTTTTAGGGGCTCGCATAATCTAGGTGTAAGGATACTAGGCATTTGTATAAAGGAATAAAAAACATTCAATCCATAAACAAGAATGTTCTCCAGAGAACAGCAAACATGGAGCTTGCTTTTTTTTCTACTTTTTCACCAATATGATTATCAAAGGGTAAATTGGAATCGATTCACTTCCCAATCTCATGCTGTCTCAACTTGACACAATTTTCTTTTGAACTATTCACTGAATGTTGATCTTAACCTTACTTGATTCTTATCTTGTAGATAAGCTTATGTTTATGGACGATAACAAAATGACATTTTGTTCATTTTCAGGAAGAGAAAGGAAGATGATTAAAAAATGCTAAGGAAGGAGAAAAGATCCAACTTAAGTGAGCATGGTCAGGGCTTTCTTCTGGCTTTTTTAGCAGGAACAATGGCTGCCCTAGGTTCAGTGTTTGCCAAACTTGCATTTAATGGGGGCATCATTAGCCAGGCATGTGAAGTCATGGTTGAAGTAACTGTGTGTAGTAAGGTAGGTTATCAGATTGTGGTGGTAACCCTATAGTAAAGTAGGTTATCATGTCATTGTGGTGGTAACCCTATAGTAAAGTAGGTTATGTCATTGTGGTGGTAACCCTATCATAAAGTAGGTTATCATGTCATTGTGGAGGTATCCCTATAGTAAAGTAGGTTATCATGTCATTGTGGAGGTAACCCTATAGTAAAGTAGGTTATAAAGTCATTGTGGAGGAAACCCTATAGTAAAGTAGGTTATCATGTCATTGTGGAGGTAACCCTATAGTAAAGAATGTTATGTCATGGTGGAGGTAACCCTTTGGTTACCAATAGGTCCCCTGATAATGTGATGGTGGTAACTCTCTGGTTACCAATAGGTCCACTGATAATGTGGTAGAGGTAACCCTTTGGTTTCCAATAGGTCCCCTGATTATGTGGTGAAGGTAACCCTTTGGTTACCAATAGGTCCCCTGATAATGGTGGAGGTAACCCTTTGGTTACCAATAGGTCCCCTGATTATGTGGTGAAGGTAACCCTTTGGTTACCAATAGGTCCCCTGATAATGGTGGAGGTAACCCTTTGGTTACCAATAGGTCCCCTGATAATATGATGGAGGTAACCCTTTGGTTACCAATAGGTCCCCTGATAATGGTGGAGGTAACCCTTTGGTGATTATGTGGTGAAGGTAACCCTTTGGTTACCAATAGGTCCCCTGATAATGGTGGAGGTAACCCTTTGGTTACCAATAGGTCCCCTGATAATATGATGGAGGTAACCCTTTGGTTACCAATAGGTCCCCTGATAATGGTGGAGGTAACCCTTTGGTTACCAATAGGTCCCCTGATAATATGATGGAGGTAACCCTGTGGCTAGGTAGGCAATCTGTTATGGCTAAAGTAACCCTGTGGTGAGGCATGTTTGGTTATTTTGGATCAGTGGCTTTCTGTGATGGTGTTTGTTCAAGAGAATGACCTTTGCCAATTTCACTGTTAGAAGTGTCAAAAGTGTTGAAATCTTCAACTTTATACTTGGATGAACAACAATCATGTCATGCAAATGAATAACCTTGACCTACTCTCAAGGTCACAGCAGTCAAATGTGAAACAACCAAAAAACCTAGGAACATAGCTTTTGGCTGATAACATCCTGAAATGAAAGGCTATCGAGTTTGTTGAAATGCATTATCTTGACCCACGTTCAATGTCAGTTGGATAAAGAATGTTCAAATCCAAACTTCGTAGTCATTAAGAAACCTAAGGCTATGTTATTTCACCTTGAATATAGTTTTAAAGAAAGATCAAGACACACAAACTTTGCTTGAAGAATCTTCTTTGATAAAAGTCATTTCTTTGTTAGATGAAGAACAGGTAAGTGAAACAAAGGTCTCTTGATTATAAGATATAAACCACAGCTTGTATTTTAATGTTACAACACTTTGTTTATTGATGTTATTGAACATAACTATTAATGTGATTAAATGTTTTTGGAATATCTTTAACTAAGTTGTCTGGAATGAAATGATGCAATCAAAGGTGTGAACTAATTCAGAGCTATATATGTTTTTATTAGTCCGTCTATCCTTTGATTAATCCTTCTCTGCATTGATTTCTATTTGGAACATCTCAAAACTATTTTCAGCAATTGTCAAATTTTGTTGGGATGTCAGAGTCCCAACACCATATAAACACATGACCGTGTATCTTGCTTTTATACAGTTTTACTATGTGGTGTAATGATGAAAACGGTCCTAGTCTGATGTTTACTTCGTTATTCCTCCAGCTGAAGTGGTACATACAAGGTGTATGCTTTGGACTGATATTTATCAGTAATGCCCTGATGTGGACCTGTTTTACCAAGAGTCTACAGCTGTGTACATCTTCCCTGGAGGCCACAGTCATCAACACAGCAACCAACTTTCTAGTCAGTGTGAGCATCACATGAGGTTTTCCATGTTTAATTCTTCCTGGCTACATACAATCTTAGACAAGGACTAATGGCTGTGTTCTATATCAGAAACAAAATCATTAATATAAAGGTTTTTTAGAGACATTTCAGGGTAGATCTTTTTGTTACCAAAATTATACTTCACTCAGATATATCTACCATTTTTGTGTCAGTTTTAAGTACATGTACCAGATAATCCTGACACTCAGTGATGGCGGCCTCAAAGAATCTTTGATTTTTATATGAAAAAACCCTTGAAAATCTTATAGCCATGTAATGTGTGCACTCCCCACTTGAGACATTTATTTAAAAAAAAATGCACACATTACGTGGATGTTTATGTTATTTGTGGTGTGGTTTAATCCTTGAAATTTAAAAAAGGAATATTATTTAACTTAATATGATTTTATGTCCAGAGTCAATTAAAACCCATGTTCACATATTCCTTAACCATTTTATGCTTAACCTAGTAAATAATTTGATGTAGGTAACATATGTTGTGGTAGACTTTAAATGACTTTGTATGTTTCCTTTATTTAGGCGCTCATTGGCTGGATGTTTTTTCATGAAGGACTTTCACTGAAATGGTGGATAGGTTCCCTCCTCATACTATTAGGTCTCATGCTAATCCACAGAGGAGGTGATGAGACAACACCACAGAAACATCATAAAGATTCATGATATTTCACAGAGGAAGTGACCAAACTACACCACAAAGACATAAAGAATATTTCACAGAGGAAGTGACCAAACTACACCACAAAGACATAAAGAATATTTCACAGAGGAAGTGACCAAACTACACCACAAAGACATAAAGACATAAAGAATATTTCATAAAGGAAGTGACCTAACTACACCACAAAGACATAAAGAATATTTCACAGAGGAAGTGACCAAACTACACCACAAAGACATAAAGAATATTTCACAGAGGAAGTGACCAAACTACACCACAAAGACATAAAGACATAAAGAATATTTCATAAAGGAAGTGACCTAACTACACCACAATGACATAAAGACATAAAGAATATTTCATAAAGGAAGTGACCTAACTACACCACAAAGACATAAAGAATATTTCACAGAGGAAGTGACCAAACTACACCACAAAGACATAAATAATATTTCATAAAGGAAGTGACCTAACTACACCACAAAGACATAAAGACATAAAGAATATTTCACAGAGGAAGTGACCTGACTACACCACAAAGACATAAAGAATATTTCACAGAGAAAGTAACCTAACTACACCACAAAGACATAAAGACATAAAGAATATTTCATAAAGGAAGTGACCTAACTACACCACAAAGACATAAAGAATATTTCACAGAGGAAGTGACCAAACTACACCACAAAGACATAAATAATATTTCATAAAGGAAGTGACCTAACTACACCACAAAGACATAAAGACATAAAGAATATTTCACAGAGGAAGTGACCTGACTACACCACAAAGACATAAAGACATAAAGAATATTTCATAAAGGAAGTGACCAAACTACACCACAAAGACATAAAGAATATTTCACAGAGGAAGTGACCTGACTACACCACAAAGACATAAAGAATATTTCACAGAGGAAGTGACCAAACTACACCACAAAGACATAAAGAATATTTCACAGAGAAAGTGACCTAACTACACCACAAAGACATAAAGAATATTTCACAGAGAAAGTGACTTAACTACACCACAATGACATAAAGACATAAAGAATATTTCATAAGGGAAGTGACCTAACTACACCACAAAGACATAAAGACATAAAGAATATTTCACAGAGGAAGTGACCAAACTACACCACAAAGACATAAAGAATATTTCATAAAGGAAGTGACCAAACTACACCACAAAGACATAAATAATATTTCATAAAGGAAGTGACCTAACTACACCACAAAGACATAAAGACATAAAGAATATTTCACAGAGGAAGTGACCTGACTACACCACAAAGACATAAAGAATATTTCACAGAGAAAGTAACCTAACTACACCACAAAGACATAAAGACATAAAGAATATTTCATAAAGGAAGTGACCTAACTACACCACAAAGACATAAAGAATATTTCACAGAGGAAGTGACCAAACTACACCACAAAGACATAAATAATATTTCATAAAGGAAGTGACCTAACTACACCACAAAGACATAAAGACATAAAGAATATTTCACAGAGGAAGTGACCTGACTACACCACAAAGACATAAAGACATAAAGAATATTTCATAAAGGAAGTGACCAAACTACACCACAAAGACATAAAGAATATTTCACAGAGGAAGTGACCTGACTACACCACAAAGACATAAAGAATATTTCACAGAGGAAGTGACCAAACTACACCACAAAGACATAAAGAATATTTCACAGAGGAAGTGACCTAACTACACCACAAAGACATAAAGAATATTTCACAGAGAAAGTGACTTAACTACACCACAATGACATAAAGACATAAAGAATATTTCATAAAGGAAGTGACCTAACTACACCACAAAGACATAAAGACATAAAGAATATTTCACAGAGGAAGTGACCAAACTACACCACAAAGACATAAAGAATATTTCATAAAGGAAGTGACCAAACTACACCACAAAGACATAAAGAATATTTCACAGAGGAAGTGACCTGATTACACCACAAAGACATAAAGAATATTTCATAAAGGAAGTGACCAAACTACACCACAAAGACATAAAGAATATTTCACAGAGGAAGTGACCTAACTACACCACAAAGACATAAAGAATATTTCATAAAGGAAGTGACCTAACTACACCACAAAGACATAAAGAATATTTCACAGAGGAAGTGACCAAACTAGACCACAAAGACATAAAGAATATTTCATAAAGGAAGTGACCTGATTACACCACAAAGACATAAAGACATAAATAATATTTCATAAAGGAAGTGACCAAACTACACCACAAAGACATAAAGAATATTTCACAGAGGAAGTGACCTAACTACACCACAAAGACATAAAGAATATTTCACAGAGGAAGTGACCTGATTACACCACAAAGACATAAAGAATATTTCATAAAGGAAGTGACCAAACTACACCACAAAGACATAAAGAATATTTCACAGAGGAAGTGACCTGACTACACCACAAAGACATAAAGAATATTTCACAGAGGAAGTGACCAAACTACACCACAAAGACATAAAGAATATTTCACAGAGGAAGTGACCTAACTACACCACAATGACATAAAGACATAAAGAATATTTCATAAAGGAAGTGACCTAACTACACCACAAAGACATAAAGACATAAAGAATATTTCACAGAGGAAGTGACCAAACTACACCACAAAGACATAAAGAATATTTCATAAAGGAAGTGACCAAACTACACCACAAAGACATAAAGAATATTTCACAGAGGAAGTGACCTGATTACACCACAAAGACATAAAGAATATTTCATAAAGGAAGTGACCAAACTACACCACAAAGACATAAAGAATATTTCACAGAGGAAGTGACCTAACTACACCACAAAGACATAAAGAATATTTCATAAAGGAAGTGACCTAACTACACCACAAAGACATAAAGAATATTTCACAGAGGAAGTGACCAAACTACACCACAAAGACATAAAGAATATTTCATAAAGGAAGTGACCTGATTACACCACAAAGACATAAAGACATAAATAATATTTCATAAAGGAAGTGACCAAACTACACCACAAAGACATAAAGAATATTTCACAGAGGAAGTGACCTAACTACACCACAAAGACATAAAGAATATTTCACAGAGGAAGTGACCTGATTACACCACAAAGACATAAAGAATATTTCACAGAGGAAGTGACCTGATTACACCACAAAGACATAAAGACATAAAGAATATTTCATAAAGGAAGTGACCAAACTACACCACAAAGACATAAAGAATATTTCACAGAGGAAGTGACCTAACTACACCACAAAGACATAAAGAATATTTCACAGAGAAAGTGACCTGATTACACCACAAAGACATAAAGAATATTTCATAAAGGAAGTGACCTAACTACACCACAAAGACAAAGAATATTTCACAGAGGAAGTGACCTGATTACACCACAAAGACATAAAGAATATTTCATAAAGGAAGTGACCTAACTACACCACATTGACATAAAGAATATTTCACAGAGGAAGTGACTTAACTACACCACAAAGACATAAAGAATATTTCACAGAGGAAGTGACCAAACTACACCACAAAGACATAAAGAATATTTCACAGAGGAAGTGACCTGATTACACCACAAAGACAAAGAATATTTCATAAAGGAAGTGACCTGATTACACCACAAAGACATAAAGACATAAAGAATATTTCATAAAGGAAGTGACCAAACTACACCACAAAGACATAAAGAATATTTCACAGAGGAAGTGACCAAACTACACCACAAAGACATAAAGAATATTTCACAGAGGAAGTGACCAAACTACACCACAAAGACATAAAGAATATTTCATAAAGGAAGTGACCTAACTACACCACAAAGACATAAAGAATATTTCACAGAGAAAGTGACCTGACTACACCACAAAGACATAAAGAATATTTCACAGAGAAAGTGACCTAACTACACCACAAAGACATAAAGAATATTTCACAGAGGAAGTGACCAAACTACACCACAAAGACATAAAGAATATTTCATAAAGGAAGTGACCTAACTACACCACAAAGACATAAAGAATATTTCACAGAGAAAGTGACTTAACTACACCACAATGACATAAAGACATAAAGAATATTTCACAGAGAAAGTGACTTAACTACACCACAAAGACATAAAGAATATTTCACAGAGGAAGTGACCAAACTACACCAATGAAACTTGATAAAGATTCATGACATTTCACAGATGTAGCAACAAGACTACCAACAGAATCATCAAAATAATTTGTTGCTTTCCTATCCCCAAAGTATCCATGGTAATTTCTTGGACAAAGGGTGTGATTTGCAAATGGATTTTGGAAAAGTGTGAAGTATGAAGTAAATATGGGTGATATCAATATGATATAGTTTCTGTGTAAATGTGGGTGATATCAATATGATATAGTTTCTGTGTAAATGTGGGTGGTATCAATATGATATAGTTTCTGTGTAAATGTGGGTGATATCAATATGATATAGTTTCTGTGTAAATGTGGGTGATATCAATATGATATAGTTTCTGTGTAAATGTGGGTGGTATCAATATGATATAGTTTCTGTGTAAATGTGGGTGATATCAATATGATATAGTTTCTGTGTAAATGTGGGTGATATCAATATGATATAGTTTCTGTGTAAATGTGGGTGATATCAATATGATATAGTTTCTGTGTAAATGTGGGTGATATCAATATGATATAGTTTCTGTGTAAATGTGGGTGGTATCAATATGATATAGTTTCTGTGTAAATGTGGGTGGTATCAATATGATATAGTTTCTGTGTAAATGTGGGTGGTATCAATATGATATAGAGATTGAATGTAGATAGTGTTGCCACAGTGAAAAGTTAAAGAAATGATAAATATGCATTGTGCTTCATTACAATATAAATAGAGTGTTGAGTACTCTTAGAACAATTGTAGATATCTTGTGTTTTATAATGAAAAAATCCAATATTGACATTCAACATTGTTATTATGAAAACACATTTTATTCAGAAATACATCAATTGACCATAGCTATCTAAAATGATACAGTACTTAT